GGGGTGCGTGGACGTGGTGCTGGGCGAGGGCTGACGTCAGCGGACTCTTGAAAAGTGGGGGTAGGGGGAGAGATCCAAAGGTGACGGCCCTTTGACAACCAGGACCTTGAATTCGGAAAAGCTGGTTTGGGCATTTCTGGCAAGTGCTGTTCTGCCCGCCCAGCTCTCTGCCTCTGCCCTCTGCGTGCTGCTCCTCTGGGTCAGTGGATCTTGCGCCTCAAGACCAGTCCGGAAGCAGCAAGGAGAGGAAGATTGTCCACAAACAAGCAGGTTAGGGCGGGGGTGCTGTTTGGGGATACTTGGGGTGGACGATGGTGGAAACTTTCAAACTCGAGTGGGCCCGCGGACCTTCTCTGAACCCTCCTCCTACCCGCCTCTACACCATTTCAGGGCTTGGGATCAAGACAGAGCTGTGCAGGTACAGACGAAATGAAGAGGCTGGGGGGGCGGGGCGGGGGGGTGGGAGCGTGTGTCAGAGAGTCCTGGGGTGGGGGTGGCAGGACCTCGCCTGGCCTGGTTACTTTCGGTCCATCAAGCACTCCTTTCCCGAGTGGGGGTGGGGGGGCTTAGGTTTGGTGGAGGCGGAAACACGGAAGAGGGAGGAAGGAAATTGCTCCAGAGAGTGGAAGTTGGTATAATGGCTTGGGGGGGCGGAGGAGTGGTCCCCCGCCACCTCTGAGGTGTTGGGAGGGGGTGAGGGGGTGGGTTAGCCAAGTGCGGAGTTGGAGACTTCGTGCATTTCAAGCCTGTCCAGCTTCTAGACACTGTCCAGCCACCACCTTCCATTTTGTTACAAGGAAGGAGGTGTGGTGTCACTTTCCAAGGAAATGACTGACAGGGTGTGTGTGTGTAGATTAAGGAGGTCTGAGAAGGGGGAGTGGGGAGCTGATGGCAAGGGGTAATGAGCTTCAAACCTCAGCTCTGTGAGGAAGGCAGAGTAACCAGAGGAGGAAAACTTTGGGCTATTAGGGAAAAGGACCCCAGGTTCAGGAGAAGGTGCTGTCTGGGATGAGGTCCCCACCCCCCTGAGCACTCAGCACCTGCCTCCCCCCTCCTCTGCCTGCAGGTTTGCAAGAAGAGGTGCACTTCCTGGCAAGAAAGAGAAGGAAAAAACAGGTGTTCCCAGAACACCTGGAGGAGCAGGGGAGGTAAGGAACGGACTTGAGTCCTTAAATTTGTCAGACTGGGATGGAATGGTTAAACATGAGGTCAGAGAATCTGGAGGTGGAGAAAGTGTTCAAAATTGCATTCCCCATAGAGGAAAGGAGTCAGTGGTCAAGATCCCAAGTGCTGGGTCCCTGCCACAGCCCCGTTTGTTAGTCTGTAGTTTAGTTGTCTGCATGCAATGGCACAAAAGTAGGACACTGAAGCCTCAAATCCTTCTTTCATTCCTAGGTTCAGTGTATCTGCAGCTGCATCAGAGCCTGCCAGCTGTAGCTGCAGAATCCTCCTGGACGTGGAGCACGTCTCTGGACCAGAGCAAGCCATCTCTGCTAGTGTCCAGACCTTCGTCCTAGCATGGGCCGCACTCGGGAGGCTGGCTGTGTGGCTGCTGGAGTGGTAATCGGGGCTGGTGCCTGCTACTGCGTGTACAGACTGACCTGGGGAAAAGATGAGAGTGAGAAAATGTGGGATGATGATGACGACGATGACGACGATGACGATGAAGATGAGGAGGAGTCTAGTGATATTTCAGAAACTGGGGTTGTGACTGGGGAAGGAGCTAATGCAGGGGCAGAAGCCGGAGCTAAACTTCAGAGTGACTCACGGCCTAAGGCTGAGGTGGGTGTAGAACTTGAGAGCGGTCCAGCTGTAAAGGTGGAGGTCCATTCCGGAGTCCAGAGCGGAGGTGGTCTAGAGGCCAAGGCCAAGGCCCTTTTCAGCAGTCTGAAGGAACAGGCGAGCGCCAAGGCTGGCAGAGTGTCCAGGTTGGGTACCATCTCTGGGACCAGGACCCTTGCACCAAGTTTACCCTTCCCAGGTGGCCGGGGTGGAAGCTGCCACCCCACCAAGAATGGGGCTAGGGCTGGAGGCAGGACAAGTGGAAAATCCAAGGGAAGGGCCCGAGGTAAGAGCACGAGGACTCCAGCTACAGCATGGCCTGTTCGCAGGGGCAAATTCAACTTTCCCTATAAAATTGATGATATTTTGGGTGCGACTGACCTTCAAAAGGTCCTTAACATCCTGGAAAGAACAAATGATCCTTTTATTCAAGAAGTAGCCTTGGTCACTCTGGGTAACAATGCAGCGTATTCATTTAACCAAAATGCCATTCGTGAATTGGGTGGTCTCCCAATTATTGCAAAAATGATAAAAACGAGAGATCCAATTATCAGGGAAAAGGCTTACAATGCCCTTAATAACCTGAGTGTCAACGCTGAAAATCAGGGCAAGATTAAGACATATATCAGTCAAGTGTGTGATGACACTATGATCTGCCGAGTGGACTCAGCTGTGCAGATGGCTGGACTGAGACTCCTAACCAACATGACTGTGACTAATCATTACCAACATTTGCTTTCTTATTCTTTTCCAGACTTTTTTGCTTTGTTATTTCTGGGAAATTATTTCACCAAGATTCAGATTATGAAACTAATTATAAACTTTACTGAAAATCCAGCCATGACAAGAGAGCTGGTCAGTTGTAAAGTCCCATCAGAACTGATTTCCCTCTTTAACAGGGAATGGGACAGAGAGATTCTTCTCAATATCCTCACCCTATTTGAGAATATAAATGACAACATAAAAAGTGAAGGGCTTGCATCATCCAGGAAAGAATTCAGCAGAAGTTCCCTTTTTTTCTTATTCAAAGAATCTGGAGTGTGTGTTAAGAAAATCAAAGCGTTAGCAAATCACAATGATCTGGTGGTGAAAGTAAAAGTTTTGAAAGTATTGACCAAACTCTAATGCGGGTCCAGCCCAAGCAATATCACAGTGATATTTTAGTTTGCACTTGGAAACAATGTATTTTGTAAGTTCTTTGATTTTCACTGTGCTTATATGGCAAAGAGGTCATTTTAGCTGCTGTTTTGGAATATCACAGGTCATCGGCAGCAGTACTGGTTGCGACAACTGGCTTTAGGCTGAACTATTCTAAGGAGGCCCCATGAACACTAGAGCTTGTACAAAGGACGCATACAATGATTCCACCTTGCTATCTAGATTGAGATATTTTTACTCTTTCCTCTACTTAAACTGACAGCAAACTAATCATGAATAAGCTACACTTTTGTATTGGTTTACATTTGTTAATCTAAGACTTGTGCTTCATCAATAAAGTTGTGCATTTTAAGCAGAAAAAAAAGACCTGTCTTTCTCCTTGAGTTTATGATGCATTTAGAAAGGCAAGGTGTTTGGAAACAGAAAGATACTAACAACACCGGAGCCCCTGATCATGGCCACCTTTTCTCATCAGTGCAGAGACCGCCACTGGCACGGTGCTCAGGGCAAGTTTTATGGAGGAGGCAGAAGCTTCAAGAAGCTGGGCACGAAGGGTGGGGTAAAAACAGGGCAGAAGGACATTAGAGGAGGGAGGAGTGATGAAAAGAAAGGCATGGAGGGGGGGCTCCTGCTCCAGACAGGAGGCTGGCCTGCCTGGAGTACACAGTGTGGGGAGGGGAGTGATGGGAAGATAGTCCAGCAGTTGGGACCAGACTGAGTCCTGGAGAACTGCTCCCCACCACTGCTAAACCGAGGTGTCCTAATGTTACTCCGCCCACCCCTGGGAGACACCAGAGTCTGTCTGTCTTGACCAGAGGAATGATAGGATGCTAGGAAAGTTGTGGCTGATGTGTGAGCAGGATGGGTTGAGTTGGAGTGGAGAGAGGAGTGCCCCCTGGAGCCTGGAAAATCAGTCAGGAAGATACAGCACAGTTCAGGCAGGAGATGACAAAGGAGTGAGGTGTCACTGCTGGGTGGCCTGGGAATGGTGAGGGGAAGTGGAAAGTGCCAGAACCTTGAATCAAGAAGTGCTGGAGAGCCTCCCCTGGTGGCACAGCAGTTGAATGCTGGGTTGTGAGGCTGCCAGCAGCCTCTGCAGCACCAGTTCTATCCCAGGCCACCCGCGAGGGTCCCACCAAAAAAAATAAATAAATAAAAAAGTGCTGGAACCTATTCTGGGCACATACAGAGAGGGAAATTTTTATGTTAGGATCCTGTGGGCACTTGATAGGAAAACATCCTTTCTTGGCCAATGGAAGTGGTGGTGGCCATGTAAGTGAATATGTTAGTTACTACTTTGACATCAGAAGAAGATAGAACAGAAGAATACTTTTTTATTTTATGTTTTTTACATCATTTTTCATTTTTGCACAATGTATGCATTTTCATCTTGGTTATAGTTCCCATGTAATTCCCACCACCCTTGTTTTGATCCTACTCCCTTCTCCCCTCCCCTGTAATGTGTCTCTGGTTTATAGTTGCTTGTGGATTTTGATTTTTACTGTATTATAATTAGTCTTTTTCCTGATCCCTTATTTAGGTTTTCTAAATTCCTGCTATGAGATCATCCGCTATTTTTCTTTTTCTTTCTGGCTTTTTTCGCTGAGCATGATCCCTTCGAGCTCCATCCATGTTGCTGCAAATTGCATGAGTTTATCTTTTTTGATTGCTGAGTAATATTCCATTATGTATATGTACCACATAGAAGAATACTTTTTAGTGCTGCTATGAGATCACTTTTGCAAGGGTGGTTAGGGTAGGGCCTTGAGGGAACCATAGAGAGAGCTGTTGGTGTACATCCTGGAGAAGATACACCCCTCTCCTACCCAGAGTGCGGATGAGGGTGTGGGGAGAGGAGCATTCTCTGGGGTCCTGATGGGAGCGCACATTTGGTACGAGGTCCCTTTGGACACATTCCAGAAACTGTCAAGAGGTGCACGTTCTTCAGTCAGGTAATTCCACTTGTCGAAATTTATCATTATGAAATAGTTGGCTTGCATTAAGCTGTGCATCTCTTGCACCGTTGTGAAGAATGAAAAGTTGTGAATGACCCAAGTGTCTCAAAAATAGGCAAACTAAGGTATACCTGCACACTGAGACATTTTGCAGCTCTTAAAAACACTGATGAGCATCTACATTTATTTACAAGGAAGAATTTAGCATTTAATCTTAGTGGAAAAGCCAATTGCATGAGTATATATTTAATATATCCATTTTTTAAGAAAATAAAACATTTACGTGCATTAAAACGTCTGAAAGACTATAGCAGAAAGAGAAGAATGGTTGAGTAATAGGATAATGCCTGAATTTACTAATATAGCCCTTTATACTTCATCTATGTTTTCTTACATGTTCCTTTTTGTGTATAATTGTTGGAAATAAAATGAGAATTTTGGATATAAGCTAGGTTAGAAATGAAGGAGATGATTTGGGGGAATGATTGGGGTTTATGTGGATATGTTTGGAGAATATATTGAATGGAAAAATATTTAGATCAACAAGGGAGACATGTTAAAATGATAGATGAGTTGATGATTAAATGAGGTACTATATGTAAACTACTAAATAATGTTTGAACATAACAGCTAATTGGTAAGTAGGCACCCTTAATTACCTAAAAGACTGGATGGATAATATTTGGCTTAACTTTTTTTTTCTAAGGTGTCATTCTGCATATGCTAATGGTATTTTTCCAGTTTTATTGAGATATAATTCACATATAACATTGCTAAGTTTAAGGTTTACAATGTGTTGGTTTGATACATTTACATATCATAAAATAATTACCACCATGGCAACAACTAGCACCTCCATTCCATCACATAATTACCATTTATTTTCTGCATGATGTTAAGATTTACTCTCTCAATAACTTTCTGGTAAATAATACAGTATTATGAGCTATTGGATTCCACATATAAGTGCTATCTTATAGTATTTGTCTTTCTCTGTCTAACCTATTTCACTTAACATAATGCCTTCAAGTTGTAGCCAAGTAGTCACAAACAGAAGGATTTCCTTTCTCTCATGGCTGAGTAAATACTCCCGTGTGTGTGTGTGTGTGTGTGTGTGTGTGTTTGTGTGTGTGTGTGTGTGTGTGTGTATGTATCTGAAAATCTTTACCCATTCATCCATGTCTATTTTAAATAATATGGCAATGAATGTGGGGTGCAGATAGCCTTTCAAGATCCTATTTTCATTTCCTTTGGATATACACCCAGAAGTGGAATTGCTGGATCATATGGTCATTCTATTTTTTATGTTTTTGAAGACTCTTCTTACTGTTTGCATAGTGGCTGTATTAGTTTACACACCCAGCAACAGTCTCCAAGAGTTCCCTTCTCTGTGTAAACTTAACAAAGGAGGTGAATGAAAAATGAATGAAAAATTTGAGACATTAAATAAATAAAAAGAATACATTAAAATAAATAGAAAACATACAAAATATGGAAAGATATTTCCTGCTCCTGGATTGAAAGAATTAACATGGTTAAAATGGCCATCCCACCCAAACCAATTTATAGATTCAATTGCAATCCCTGTCTAAGCACCAATGGTATTCTTCAAAGAAATAGACAAACATTACTGAAATTCATATGGAACCACAAAAGTCCCTGAATAGCCAAAACAATCCTGACAAAAAAGACGAGTGGTGCTATCACACTCTCAGGCTTTAAATTATAATATAAAGGCACAATAATTAAAGCAGCATGGTACTAGAAGAAAAACAGATACACAAACCAAGGAATAGAAGTCAGAGCCCAGAAATAAAACCATACATCTACTAACCTACGACAAAGGAGCCAAGAATATACATTGGAGAAAGGAGAGTCTTTTCAATAAATGATGTTCGGAAAACTGGACGGTCCCATGCAAAAGGATGAAACCAGACGGTCCCATGCACCATCTCACATCTCACACATAAATTAACTCAAAGTGGATTAAAGCCATAGATGAAAGACTCAGAGAATACAGGCAAACACTCCCTGACATTGGCTTCAGTGATGTCTCTCTGGATTTGTCTCCAATGGCAAGAGAAACAAAAGTAAATATAAACAAATAGGACTACATAAAAGCAAAAATCTTCTGCACAGGCAAAGAAACTATCAAAACCACACTGAGATACCATCTCATATCTGTGAGAATGGCCGATGTCAAAAAGTTCAGAAATAACAAGTGTTTTTGGTGAGGATGTGGAGTAAAAGGAATTCTTTTATATTGTTGGTGGGAATATGGACTGGCCCATCCTCTCAGGAAAGCAGTATGGAGTTTCCTCAAAATATTAAAAATAGGTCTACCATATAATCAGCAGTTCCACCCCTAGGTATCTGCCCAAACGATACAAAAACACTAATTTGAAGGGATGTAAATACTCTGATACTCATTGCAACCCTATTTCAATAACCAAGTTATGGAAACAACCTATGTGCCCAATGACAGAGGAGCAGGTTAGAAAAATGTGGTGTGTGTGTATATATATATATATATATATATATATATATATATGTATATACATTGTGTGTGTGTGTATATATATATATATATATATATATATATATATATATATACACACATACAATGTAATACTACTCAGCTGTAAAAAATAAAATGAACTCTTGCCTTTTGTGACAACATAGTTGGAACTGGAGTGGATAATGTTAGGTGAAATAAGTCAGAAGAAGAAAAAAGACAAATACCAGATCATTTCTCTTATATGTGAAATATAGAGAAATAAAGGTTCATAAAAAACAAACCAGTAACAAGCCCTGGAAATCTGACTGTGGAACTGAGGGTACAAGATGGGGAGTGGGAGGGGTGGAGAGAAAGGGGAGGGACCCAATGAATTATGGTGGAGGACTGAGGATGCCTTGGTGGTGTGTGTGGTGTGGTAACAAGCATAGAAGAGGTGTGATCTTGCGCCTTTGAATCACATACTGTGTTGTAAACCAATGTTGCCTCAATTAAAAAAAAGAAGAAAAAAAGAAGAAAAAAAAGAGTTCCCTTTCTCCATCCCCTTACTTGCACGTGTTATCTCCTCTTTTTTAATGATAGTCTTTCTGACAGGTGTGAAGGGATAGCTTATTGTGGCTCAGGTTTGCATTTCTTTAATGATTATTGGTGTTGAGCATCTCATTACTTGTCGACCTAGTAGTATTGAATAAACAGTGAAAATATTTCCTTTGAAGAATGGGGTCTTTGCTCCCTTCTAAGAACAGAAAGTGCAATCTCAATTTCTACTACATTCCTGACATCTGCGTGTTATTGCTGTGATTTAGACAGGAAGCCTCAGGCAATTTTTCTCAGGATACAGTTGGGTGGAATACTGGAATACATGTATGTGTCTTTGGGTTTCACAGTTCATGATAAATGATTTTTTT